GGCTTGCCACTTGGCATTGTTAGGGTCATGTTTTCTAGGAACTTACACCTTGCCTTTACTTTGGCTGGCGCGTACACACACAGCACCTTGAACTCTGTCCCATTTGCTTCCATGATGGCTTGCAGTAGCCTGCCTGCCACTATTTCTCTGTGCTGCAGGGGGCGCACGATATCCCCTTTCAGCAGGATTGTGACCCCAGTAGCCCTAATGTCATCCCACCACAGGGCTGTCCCATGCGGCCAGTGTTTGGAGAAAAAGAGCTGCTGGTGTTACTGGGGAGACTGTGTTCGTGCAGGCAGACCATGTCTGCTTCTGTCTGTTCCAGAGTCTGTATTACCTGGTCCCACTTCCTTTTCCCTAACAAACTTCTCACATGCACAGAAGCAATTTTAAGCGTTTTCATTGTATAGTTAAATTTGGGGGTGGGGAGGGCTGGTAGGATTTCAGAAACCACCTTTCTTGTCTCAATCTCAAGTTTGGCTTTCTTTTCCTCACTCTCTGGATCTTGTTGTTTTACCTGACTGGGCCTTCCCTTGGATTCCCTTGTAGAGCTCATCTTGTTGTCCTCTGTTTGCTTTTTCTTCCTACTCTTGTGCGAGTCCACTCATACCCCTCTAGGAGTTCGAAATGGGGAGAGGTTTCTTGGGTTTTCTCTTTCTTCCCTTCTAGCTCCTTCCTTTTCTGGGGTTACTTTCTCCCTGGGCTTAGGTCTTCCTCTCCTTTCTCTTCTGATTATTTCTTTTCCCTCTTTCACTCATTCTCTTGTTCCATGGCTGAGCCTGTTTTATTCCTATTCAGTTCCATTAACATCTCAATGCTCCATAAAACTGACTCGGAGACAGGACTGTCCTCTAGCCCTGGGGGAGGGGTTCCTCCTCCTGTTCCCACAGCATTCCCATTCTGCTCCATGTCCTCCTCACTCTCCTCTTCTGAACTATCCTGAATTTCTGACTCTGAGGTGAACGACTTGAAATCCTCCTCCTCCTCCTGCTGTTTCCCCATGTACTCCCCTTTCTGCCTGTCTCTTTCCTGAAGAGGTGGCCATCCTCCACACAGAGGTTGCAGTGTTTCTCTTTGTTGCATTTTTGGTGTTTGTGCCCAGTATGATGGCAGACAGCACAGAGCTCTGTTTTGCACTCTCTTCTCAGGTGCCCCTCCTGTCCTCATTTGTGGCACAGTTTGGGTTGGCCTCTATAGTAAATCAAGCCTTCGTGGTACCCCAGGTGCAGGGAGGCTGGCAAATACTGGGGTCTTTTTTTAAGAGTACTCTAGCAATCCAGGCCCCAGTCCATACTCCCTCTCCATCCTTCTCCTCCTCTATTGTTCTCACCTTCTCACAGTGGCTGCTCAGCCAGAAATGAAGGTCTGCTGCATCTATTTCTGTTGTGCTCAGATCAATCTTTACAATATTCTGTCTCCACTGAGTTCCCTTGGTGTCTCCCCCGTAGAAAGCATAATCCTTCAGCTTGGGGTCCTCTCCCACCTGCTCCAGACATTTCCATAAATGCTGCCTGGGTTCAGGGCTCCTGATCCCACCACCCAATCAAGGGAGTGCTTTTGCTTCCATATGTAAATTACATTCTCCTTATTTACCTGGAGCAGCTCTCGCAGGACTGGCCTGTTGAAATCTTCTCTTCTTATGCCATTGGGGAGATACCTAGTCTGTGAATCATACCTGTACACCTTGAAATCCATGGGGAAGCCCTTTCTCTTTGTTTTCACCAGTCCTGGTCCTCCATCACTCATGTCTTTCTTTGCAGCACCTGCATAGCTGCCTGCCATCTGCCTCTCCTGGACTGAACCTGGACCTGGAAAAAGCCTACAACAGAGTGTCACACCATTTTCTCTTTGAGACGCTGAAGTGAATGGGTCTCCCTCCAACCTTCACTGGCTGGATAAGGACTCTATACATAGACATTAGTAGCGAGGCGCTGGTCAATGGGTTCCTGAGTGCACAGATCATGGTAGAGTCAGGGGTCCAGCAGAGGTGTCTAGTCTCCTCATCCTTTTCATCTGTGTGACTGAACCCCTGGCACAGCGCATCAGGCAGGAGCCTGGGATGCATGGAGTCCAGATCCCCAGAGGAAGGAAAGGAGAGACCAAGGTCCTGGCGTACATAGACAACCTGACCATCCTGTGCTGGAATAAGTGTGCTGTAGAGAGAGCCATGTGGCACACACAGGTCTATGAGGTGGCAGCAAGGGCCTAGCTCAACGTGAGCAAAAGCACCTGTCTGACCATGGGCGAGCTCGGGGACCTGGAGTCCCTGGGGGTCTCAGTCCTCCGTGAGGGGGTCAAGATCCTTGGGGTGGATTTCAACCCCAAGCTGAGTGGAAGGCTGGGGAGAAGAAGGAGGCCAAGATTACGCAGAGGTTGAGTCTGTGGCATGCGCACCGCCTCTCCATGGGGGGGTGCATGGCACTCATGAAGGCGGTGTTGTTACCACTACTTCTGTACTCCACATGGGTCTTCCCTTCCTCCCACCCACCCCCCAGAGTGTCACCGACAGAATCCAGAGAGCCATGTGCGTTTTCTTCTGGGGATCTAGAATGGTGAAGGTGGCAAGAAAGACCCTATACAAAAAGAAATGGGCTGGGGGCAGGGGGGTGTCAGACATCCACCTGTTCCTACAGGCACGGTACACAAGCCAGCAACCAAAACAGCCTGTCTTGTCAGGTATTTTACAGGTCACTTCCTGAGACTGTGTGTGGGGGGGTACGCTCCAGCCAAAGGAAGAGCGTGCACCATGGAATAACCCTGGTTCAGTGTACAGTGTGCTGGACGAGTTCTGCAGTGAGTATGGGCTACAGAAGGAAAGCCCAGAGACCATGTCCAACCACAGGAAGACACAGAAGGCAGTCAGGGACAGAGATAGGCTATTGACCATGGAACTGCTCTCTGACGATGACTGCCAGGCCGTCTGGGATCAGATCTTCCACAACGACCTACGTAAAGACCACAGAGACCTGAACTGGCTCATAGCTCACTGTGCACTGCTAGTGAAGACACGGAGGCACAGAGTGAAGTGAGAGACTAGACCCAGCTGCCCCAGGGAAAGCCGCCACGGTGAGAATGAGACCATCAGCCACCTCCTGTGGCTCTGTCCGTATGCCAAGGGAGTGTGGGAAAAGGTAAGCTGGCTCCTGGAGGAAGTGACAGGAGTCAGGCTGATGACAAGGGAGTTGTACAGACACTTGACTAAACATCAGGGGTCCCAAACAACCCACTTCAATCAGTTTGTGTCCTGCCTCAGGAGTGCCCTGTGGCAATGCAGAAACCTGCTTTTGTACAGACACTGAGCTCAAGGAAAGACTGTGTTAAAATGTTTCTGAGTGAACTCCAGTCCTACTACCAGAAGTCGGTGGGAGAAGATGGAGAAAATACAGCCAAGTCCCCCTGGAAAAGGGATATGTGGCACAGGCTGTTCCAAGACCTCTGGGGAGGGGAAGTCGAAAAGGAAAACGGAGAGAACAGTGATGCAACTGGACCTGGAGACGGCGAGAAGGACAACAGGATCCGCAGCAGCGGAAGTGACAGTGACATCGGAAGTGACAAGGACTGCGAATAAACTGAGATTGTAAACCCGAATTGGGGCTTGGACTAAGGAACTGTGATTGGGTTACGGAAGGACAGTGGGTGGGTGCATGGGGGCGCAGGGGAGTGGGTGCATTTATTGTAATGGGTGCATGGGTTTCTTAATGCGGTTTGAGGTGTGTGATGGAAAGTTTATGACAGGATTTTATACATATATATATTCCCCCTCCCCTCGTCAGAAAAAGGTAAGTTCCCATCAGCATTTTTGGCAATAGAAGAAGGTGTCAGAATGTGTTCCAGCCTCTCCGAGTGCAGGCCTGGTATTGCAGTACCTCCAGCCCTGGTGTTCATTCTCTTCCAGGGGAACAACTGCTCATTGTTTTTTAAGGGTCTGTCTTTCTCTCTCTGTCTCACACACACACACACACACACACAAAGGTTTCTATCTATGTTTGCCCAATATGGGCAAACATATTTAATAATCATGTTCAGTGTTGACTGCATTTAATCAACTTCATAGTTGGTTTCCATGGCTTTCCTTTGGCAGCAATTTAATGATAAATAATGTATTTACTGAAGTTTCTTTGTATACAAATGTGAGATGGAGTGCGTTTTTTCCTTATGCTGATTAGGGGAAAAAACACGTCTTGTATTTGTGTAAATATGGTATTTCAAATTAAGGCTGTGTGTTTGTACGCTGTCAGATATGGATGTATTTAAGCACGTGTTAAAATTAGGTGTATGATTAAGTGCTTTATGAAATTTTAATTAAGGACATTTAATTATGTAAGTACTAGTTGCTATTCCATAGATAAGGATGGGTTAACTTTTGCACTTTAATCAGAATTAAATTGAAAATCTTTATGCTACTTGCTTTGGTGGTAATTGCAACATTATTGTAATATTTTTGTTCCCATTTTAAGTTTGTTAAATATGAACAGTAGAACATATTTGCACTATTAGAGTACTGTCTTAAGGCAAATAATGTTAAGTTTTCCCTTTAGTGACACTATATAATAACCATGCAATTATAATTACGTACTGAATAATAGTCTTTGTAGAGCTAGGGTAGATTAACTGATTTTTTTAAAAGCTGCTGGGTGTTTTTCATTTTTATTTTCATGCTGTCAGTACAGTTGGGAGTTAAAAATGGTGTGACTCAGGGTACCTCATGTCTTTGTGGACCCATTTCTATTATAACTTAATTAGGATTAATTTACTGATTTACTTGCCAGTTTTCAGGTAACTTGCAATGTATTTAAAATTACATCAAGCTGCTTTTTAACTTGCACATTTTCTAATGCAATTTAAAAAATATTATTTTTAAAGAAAAGATTTAGTATCTTCCTGTCTCAGAAGATCTTGTTTTTTTTAGAAGCTTTAAGACTATATCAGCAGAAAAGAGCTGTACTTGAACAACTTTAGCTTGTAACCTGTCTGAAGTGGTTAATTATTTTGATTCCTAGAAGACCTCACAAGAAGGAGTAAACCTGGGTGGATGAGTGATACATCTGCTTTTCCAACTTCACTTCCAAATAATGACACGTTAAGTAGTCACAGTCGACAGAAGAGATCAGTAAGCATTGAACGGTTTGTGGAGACGCTGGTAGTAGCAGACAAAATGATGGTGGGATACCATGGTCGCAAAGACATTGAGCATTACATTTTGAGTGTAATGAATATTGTAAGTTTGACCCCTCTATATGTTAACATAATGAACATGTCGTTTTAAGGATAGGCAGTTATGCAACTGAATTTCCAATTTGAAATATATGATGCCTTAAGGATGCCTTAAAGTCACAGTTGAAATATAGCAAATATTATTACTAAAAGTAGAAATGCAAGACTCTCTTTTTTCAAGTCAGAGTATGCTATGTATCTGAAATCACATTTCAATGTCTTTGGGTTTAATTTTAAAGGTATATTGACCCTGTAATTACGTTGGGATGATAGTGTTTGGTCCTGTTGTTTAGACTGATATTCTGAACACTTCTTTCCATGAGTGGATCAGTTATGAAACATTCTCACTGGATAAAATGTTTCACTGAAAACACATGTAGAGAGAAATAATTGTGATTTATTTTACAGAATAATTAAGACTGATTTATAAATCACTCTTAATTAGATGTTTTAATAATTGTTCAGATTATGAAATGATATTTTGCTGGCTAATGTTTAAATACAAATTAAATGAACAGTGTTTCTTGTCTGACTTTGTGTCTTTTCTTATTTTCTGGAGGTCAGGTTGCCAAACTTTATCGTGATTCCAGTCTTGGAAACGTTGTGAATATTATAGTGACACGGCTGATTGTTCTTACTGAAGATCAGGTAAGATAAACTATAATCAAATAAACCTTTTACCCTTAAAATACAGGGTACTTCACCGAGTAGCATTATAGAATCCACCTAATTGTTATTTGGAAAGCCTGCATTTTAGTAAAACCATCATCTGTAAGCTTTTACTATTTTAAGCAAGTTTCAAGTAGTTTGAAGGAATATTTGTCATATCTTGAATATATGTATTCTTTACATTAGGTGAATATTAGCTTACTTTTGTGGTTTGCAGTGATTGAAACTTAAAATTGCAATTTTGTTTCTAGTTCTGTATTTTGATAATCTGCAATTTTTATATTGACATAATCATTATTAAAGCTGGAACTGAAAAAATGCATATTCAGTAATGCACAAACTAAACTCTGGGTTAGATTTTACAAAGATAAAAATTGGCAGAAAGAGATTATTCCTAGAAACCACTGCTTCTAATTATAGTCCCATTTTAGTCTTCAAAAGTCTTAACAACTGACCTTAGTAATTTGTTTGGAACATTTCTGGTATGCATGTTGTATTGCAGCCAAACTTGGAGATAAACCACCATGCAGACAAGTCCCTCGATAGCTTCTGTAAGTGGCAGAAATCCATTCTCTCCCACCAAAGTGATGGAAACACCATTCCAGAAAATGGGATTGCTCACCATGATAATGCGGTTCTTATTACTAGGTATGGTTTACTGCAAGTCTTGTGTTTATTTTATTTTCTTTCTATAGCTTTTTTATATTTTTGTGTATATAGAACCTTCAATTAAAGTAATTTAATGGGTAGGTAATCTTACGAGGGCAAAAAGATAATAGGTTACTTGTCTTGCATATATCAGACTATTAAAATATAGATTAAAATTTGGAAAGAAAATGTCTAAAGACTTTCAATTTCAGTAACTGTACTTCTCATGACCGCTCCAGTAAACAAAAAAAAATCTTATAGAAGAGTTGATGATTTTGCTTGAAAATATCATCCTTTTTATATTTGAACAAAAAATTCTTAAACTTCTGGGGGGAAGAATGAAAAAAAGTATAAGAAAAACATAGGTCTTGTTGGTATTATATAATGTTTTCTGTGCAAAGAATTATATGCCAGATCCCCAGCTGGTATAGATCAGTGTCACGCCCTTTATGTCAGTAGACACATGCAGATTTTTGCAAGTTGAGGATTTGCCCTAGTATTTGTTGCTCTTTGTTGCACTTAATTATGAAGAGAGACTGATATTTTCAACACCCATACTGAACCTATTTATATATAAATCAGTCTTGATGTAAATACTACTCATATTATAAAAGTTTCAACACTGCTTGCTCAATAATTTTGCAATTCTGGTAAATATCATTGTATTCCTTTTTTTATAGTTTCAAGCAAGCAAATATTATACTTTACTAAGGGGTTATATTCAAATAGCATGGTGTGTGCATCTGTTTCTTACAGACTGTGGTTTTTTTTTTTAATTAAGGCAGCGACTCCAGTATTGTTGCATATAACTAAGGATCCTTAATTTCCCTATTACAGATGCCCTTTTTTAGAAAATTTATATTCTACGCTTGTTGCTTATGTGGAATATCAGTGGAGGTTCTGTGCATTGAAACAATGTAGAACAATCACCTCAGGAGTTAATTCCTTACTGTAATTTATTATAAAAGGCATGGTATGTTGAAAAATATATTGGAACTTTTAAAAATGTATAGAAGCACAGCAGGAAAATTCTAAAGACTCTAGGTATTTTTATGGAATGATTTTAATGCAAAATGCTTTTTTATCAACATTTCTTTACTATGTCATAGGTAGATTTTAATACTTACTTTTAATGAGCACATGCACTAGTTAGATTAATACAATAAACTCCATAGTAATTGAATAAGCTGTCTTTGTGTGCTGGGTCAAAAATCACTTTTAAAGATCCCTCAGTACAGTATAAAATTCTATTTTAGAGCCTTCATCTTACAAAAACTTGTGTAAAAGTTTAATGTTATGCATGTGTATAATTCCATTGATTTACTGTGGCTGCTCACAAAGTTAAGCAAATGCCTAAATCTGTTTACAGTGTAAACTTCTGCTAACATAGTGATGTCACTCAAATGTAAAGAGGTGTGGTCCTGGACCAGCATAACTGTGCTAGCAAAAGCACCTTAACTTGTTTGCTTTTGAATCAGGGGTTGCCAACCTGTGGCATGTGTGCCACAAGTGGCAAAGGTATCCTCTGTGTGTTGCACACAGCAGACTGGGGAGGGAGCAAGGAATGCAGTGGCAGCTTGGGGAAGGAGTAGAAAGCAGAGCAGCAGATTGGGCAGGGAAAGGGGATTGGAGTGACACTCAGGGAGGTCATGTGGCTTAATATGTGACATGTCTTCCAAAAAGGTTAGCTCTCTGCTGGCATAGGGGGTGGCAGTTTTACTAAACTGGCACAAACTACTGCTGTTTTTAATTGCATTACTGTATCTAAAAGAGCATGTTGCTGCTCTTATAGATCAATATTCCTTTTTTGGTAAAACACTGCTATTGTAGATGTGGTTGTAGTCAATTGCAGAACCTGGGCCCGAATTAGTGACAAAATTTCCTTTGACTTCATACGAGTAATTCTTACTTATTTTAATAGTCCCATTCAACTGAATAGTGTTACAGCAGTGGGTAAAAATTGAAATCAAGATTTACTTTCCCTGAAGAAGCTGATATCATTTTATGCTATGATCAGGGATTTTGAAGAAACCATACATTCCATCCTAAAATTAATTATTTTTGAATAATTTAAAATAAAAAAGACATATTACTATAGACATATGTCCTTAATTAAATTATTTTCACACCATTGCGCTGGCTCAATATAAGTTCTATTACACAAGGTGCAATGGTTGCAGATCAATTTCACAGATAGTTTTGGGTTCACCAAAATTATTTTTTGGTGAATAAACAGTTTGCTGACAAATAATTGCCAAGTTACAAATGAAATATTATACTTGAATTCACAGTCTCTGTTTGAGGATAGCACCAATCAATTTAAAAGGATATGAGGCATTCTTTTCATATGATGGTCCCTCATTGCAGTTATTAAAAAATTGCATGTTTTTGTTGCTATAATCAGTCTTGGGAATGTAGTTTTTGCTTCTTTAGTGCTGCCAATGTTTATACTACAGGAAGAGGAATGCTGACTAGAAAGAGCATTTCCTGGCAACACTATAGCAGCAAACTACCCTCCTTCAACACAGCTGGTGAGTCTCTGAGGGCACAAGGTGCTAAGCCCCTGGAATCAATAGGAGCTACATACTTCAATGGGATTTTGTCTTAAAAGTAGGTAGGTAATATGGCATACACTCTATGTGTATTAGAGGGTCCCAGGAGAATGGCTGACTTTACAAACATGTTCAGCAGTTATCTAACACAGTGGGATTAATTGATAAAGGAATTTCACATGTTTACTCTGCTTTTGATTGCTTTTAAACATGTACTGCAGAACTGTATAAGAGTATTTTTTTCTGGTTTTGTCAGTTTTGAACAATATTACTGGGTATTAATTTTTTACAAGACTTCTGCTGAACTAAAAGTTAAACAAGTGAAAGCTGTTTTTTCTATCACTGTTTCTTATTGTAAGTTTTACTCAAGTCTTTTTTTTTGTCTGAGGCTACATACAATATCTTTATTCAGTGATTGTTTCAATGAAGTCATTGAAAAGAAATATTAGTAATGCTAGGATACTTAGCTGACAGGATTCTGTAGAAAGTCTCTGAATATTAATAGAGTAAAACTGCTTAGAGAATGTATTTTCTCTCTCCCTAGCGTGACTTTGATTTTAGGAAATGATCTTTGAATCCTAAAACCTTTTTCTTATCTTAAAAATAATAAAAATAGGCTGGACACTTGTTGGAAGTCTGTATTTTATCTTTGAATATGAACAGCAGTGGTATATGATGTAAAGACAAAATTTAGTCCTTACATTTGGTTATCACACTGTTGGTGTCACAAATTATATTACTACATTGCTCAGTGGTATAGAACTGGATAAAGGTTTTTCAATCTGTATACAAAGAAAAACGCAGACCTACCCTTTTTCCTTTCCTCTTATGATTTGGTTCTCATATCTCTATAGATTTACAGCATCCTCCTCCTAGCAGTCTATGACTGACCACCTGCTTCCTCACCTCTTTGTGAGCTTTAAAAAATCATGTACTTTGTTTCCTTTCCTTTCAAATATGAAAATTTAGTTGGTAAAATATCCATTGTTCAAAGTGAAATTATTTTGTCATGGCAGACCTAACCCAACTAAATATGAAGCATTTGCATTTCAGTCACTCTCTTCTTGCCCTTAATTTTAAAGGTAGTATAACATATTTTTGATCATTAAAACTGAATATAACTTTCTCTTCCTGGCAACTTTTTACCATTCTTAAGTCTCCTTATACCTTGGTTAATTCTATAGCAATAGAATTTATAGACAAGAACATTTCTTGTCTTGGACACTTGTATAGAAAAGAAAGGAGGCATAAAGTGTCCTCTTCCTCCTTTGCAAAGGCTACCTGCTTCTTAGGCCTTGGGGCCATAACAAAATACAAAGATTTATACTGTGTCTTTCTTTTTTTTTTTTTTACTTTTACAAAGTGAAATATTTTTAAAGAAAAAATAGGTTGTTATTAAAGTCTGGATTTATAGCCTGAGACCAATAACTTGTTTTGTCAAGATACTAAACAGCTGTTTTTCCAAATAACATATATGATAGACCAAATAAACTGTGCAAGGAATGAATCTTCTGCCAGGAGAGATCTGCAGCTAATTTTACTTCCCAGTTTGGTAGAAGACCAAAGAAAACACGTACCCAATAACCCATGCAGAAGAGAGTTCCAGGGGGAAATGGGGATGTGTGTGTGTATCTCCAGAGGGGCAGAATTTGGCCCTTAAAATTTAAATGTTTTACACATTTGAATGAAGACACGCTCCATTCATTTAAAGGGATATGTTTATTTAAAAGAGTCAGTGCATGAAATGTCTTTTCCCATTGGTAGTATCACATCTGAAGACTTTATCTTAAAAATGAAAAGCAAATTTATTGTGCTTTGCAAAAGTATGATCACAATGGCCATGTCTACACGAGACACTACATTGCCATAGTGATGAGCTCTAGTGACATAGCGTCGGCAGGCATGAACCATGACACTGCTGGTAATGCGCAGTAGCAGTGAACTACCACACAGTAGCTCATCCCTACTGCGCAGCAGGGTCGGAAACAACCCATGCAGCACTGGGACTGCGCAGTCCCGGCACTTACTGAGCAGTCCTTTAATGCTTGCTAAAGTGAGTACTAAAGGATTGCACAGTAACAGCTGGCCACTCATGCAGATGCTCCCACTCTGTTGTGTAACAGAATCAATTATTACAGTTACAAAGAAAGCAAGAAGATTTTTTTTCTTGCACAAAAAAATTGAGTTAGAGACGGTCTCTCTCTCTGTGTTCACAAATTGTACTGACATGGATTTGGCCTCTGAAATTAGTATCCTAATGTTTAGAAATTTGGGAATTTTGTAATGTTAAAGCAATTGAAACACATATAAATGATGAATTCATATATAACTTCTTTTTTCAATCCTGATTAACACCACAATACTACTGAATTAAATAGTACTCCATCTGTGAGGAAGCAATAGTTAAATAATAGTACTTATAGTAGAATATGCTTGAATTATACATAT